TTTAGAAGATATTATTTATTTATTTTTAGAGAGGGGAAGGGAGGGAGAAAGAGAGGGAAACATCAATGTGTGGTTGCCTCTCATGCACCCCCACTGGGGACCTGGCTGGCAACCCAGGCATGTGCCCTGACTGGTAATTGAATCATCGACCCTTTGGTTTGCAGGCTGACACTCAATCCACTGAACCACACCAGACAGGGCTAAAATTTTATTTTATATGGTCAGATTCAAGAGCCTTTTTAAGTGGCGACCTTCTTTTACTATTGTTTACTGAAGTATAACATATAAACATCAAAATGCATAAATCCCAAGTGTACAACTCATGTATATTGAGATAAAAATTCATATATATATATTTAATATATACACACACACATATGTATAATCTGTCCAGAAGTTAACCAGCCATGTAATATGAAAAAATAGAAACATTTATTGAAGAAGATACAAGAAACATTATACATAGGACAATGATGCCTCAGTCCCCTTCAATGTAGGCACCTTGGGACCTCACACAGTTCTCCCAGTTGCCATCAGCTGCCCTGTTGTATATTCCTGAATCTCATTGATGGCCTGAAATCTTTTCCCTTTCAAAGGTGATTTTCGTTTTGGGAAAAGCCAGGAGTTTCAGGGTGCCAAATCTGGGCTGTAAGGGAGATGAGTCATCTGGGTGATTTAATGTTCCACCAAAAAACTCTGCCCGAGATGTGATGCATGGGTGGGCACATTGTTGTGATGAATCTGCCAATCGTTCATTGCATCCTCCCCAAAAGACTTCTGAATCATTCAAATACTGTATTTATTTGGACTATAAGATGCACTGTTTTCTCCCCAAATCTGGGAGGACAATGGGGTGAGTCTTATAGTCCAAATGTGGCTTACCTGGCTCACTGGGGGTGGGGTGGTGGAGTGGGGTCACAAGTTATTAAATATTTTACCACATTTTTTGCTTCAAAATTTTTTTTCTTATTTTCCTCCTCTAAAACCTAGGTGCATCTTATGGTCCGTTGCATCTTATAGTCGTAAAAATATAGTACTCATACTCACTCCCTCTGAGCTCCAGCACCAGAGTAGCAGCTTGAAAGGCACTTGTAGCATACAGGGAGGAACTGAAGTATCTAGCATCAGGGCAAGAGCTGGGGGACAGTTTTCTCCCAGACAGAAAGGAGGGCAAAGGCCATTGTTCCTTTTCTGAACCCTCTTCCCACAGAATGACAGAGCCGGCAGGTGGAAGCCATATCTAAGACTCCATCAACCTGGCTCACATCATTTGTTCCATCCTGGGGAATCCCTGAGGCTCTGCCCCACCCAACTCACAGCCTACCCAAGCTGTTACCAGTGTCTTTTCCATATGAATGGCTGATCTCTGCTCAGTCTTCACATCTTTCTAAAGCCTCTCAAACAAGCAACAACCAGCCTCATTGAGCTCTCAGCCCTAGCAGCACCCAGCTTTAGATCAGAGTTTGGCTTTGCCTGGAAAACTCCAAGCCCAGCACAAGCAGCAGCCATCTGCAGACTGCTTTGTAGCTCATGCTGGGTGGCTCCAGGCAGAACATAGATGGGGGCTGACCTTGGCCTGCACCACCCAGGAAAGCCCAGAGCCTGTGCACCCAGTGGACAGCTACAGACCATGTCGGAACACAACCACCCTGCCCCTGCACAGCTGATCCTCCACAGAGGGTGGAGGTTGGTGGTAAGTGGTGACAACCAGTGCTTGCAACTGAATGGCCTGAGTAAATCCCTCCCATTAGCCTGTCTACAGCAATCAAGACTTAACTACAAGAGGAGTGTGTACTCATACCGTACAGAGAGCAAATTGGGTAATAGGGGAAGCTGTGCCACTCTACCCTATGGGACACCTACTACATTATACCACACTACCAATATGGGGAGTCATAGCAGCTCTGACCTAATACATAGGAACAAACACAGGGAGACTGCTGATATGAGGAAACAAAGAAATATGGCCCAAATGAAAGAACAGAATAAAACTCCAGTAAAGGACTAAACAAAATGGAGATGAGCAATTTATCAACTGCACAATTCAAAACACTGGATATGAGGATGCTCAAGAAACTTAATGCGGACCTCACCAACCTAAAAAAGACCCAGACAAATGAAGGATATACTAATGGAAATAAACAACAATTTAGAGGGAATCAACAGTAGAGTGGATGAAGCCAAGAATAAAAGCAATGATATGTGACATAAGGAAACAAAAAATAACCAATCAGAACAAGAAGAAAAAAGAATCCCCACCCCCCAAAATGAGGATAGTGTAAGGAGCCTCTGGGACAACTTTAAGTGTACCAACATTTGCATCATAGCAGTGCCATAAAGAGAAGAGAAAGAGCAAGAAATTTGAAATCTGTTTAAAGAATGAAAGAAAACTTCCCTAACTTGGTGAAGGAAATAGACATGCAAGTCCAGGAAGCACAGAGTCCCATGCAAGATGGATGCAAAGAGCCTCACTCCAAGACACAGCATAATTAAAATGCCAAAGGTTAAAGATAAAGAAAGAATCTTAAAATTAGCAAGCAAAAAGCAGTTAATTACCTATAGGGGAGTTCCCATACAATTGTCAGCTGATTTCTCAAAAGAAAGTTTTCAGGCTAGAAGGGATTGGCAAGAAATAGTCAAAGTCAGGAAAAGCAGGGACCTACAGCCAAGATTGCTCTACCCAGCAAAGCTATCATTTAGAATCAAAGGTCAGATAAAGAGCTTCCCAGACTAGAAAAAACTAAAGGAGTTCACCATAACCAAGCCATTATTATATGAAATGTTAAAAGAACTTATTTAAGAAAAAGAGCAATACTATGACCAATAAAATGGCAATAAATACATACCTATTAACAATTGAATCTAAAAAACAAACTAAGCCAACAAATAGAACAGACAGAATTATGGATATGGAGAATGTTTTGATGGTTGGTAGATGGAAGGGGGTTACGAGGAAATGAGCGAAGAGGTGAGGAGGATATAGAAGTACAAATTGGTAGTCACAGAATACCCACAATTTAGGAAATGGAGTAGCCAAAGAACTTACAGGAATGACTCATGGACATGAACAAAGGTGTGAGGATTGCCTGAGGGAGTGGGGGTATTGGGTTGAGGGGAGCAAAGGAGGAAAAATTGGGACAACTGTAACAGCATAATAAATAAAGTATAATTTAAAAGAAAAAAGTAAATAAACTTTTGTAGCATCTGGCCTAGATCTAAGCAGGAAGACAAGAAACTCCAGACAGTGGGAAACTGTGCAAGATAAACAGTACTTTTCCTTAAATAAATCCCAAAGAAGAAAAATTAATTCAGAGATGCTATTGGCTTGTGAAATTATAATTTCCGCAGCAAATCTGTACTAACTAAATCACGGGCAACAATGGAATCAGTCTCTGAATATTACTTTTGCTGCCTCCCTAAAACAAAAATAAAAAAAGACTGTATCACTTCTGGAAGTCTAACCTCCTCACAGAGCCCTGTTCTTGATCACTTTTTCTTAACACATACCATATTTCACTAGAATTGGTTATTCAAATTATTGTCCTTAGACTGAAGTCACTGAGAGAAAGGTCTGTTGCATTCGCAGAGGTGAGAGGCTGTACACTAAATATTGGATAAAGTAAAAGTTGGGACCAAATTCGAGACAGAGCTCTGAGGGGGATCAAGAGGGCTCTTGTTACTCAGGAGATCAGAAGAGTTTGTTTTGTATATAATCTGTAAGAACAGGGTTCCATCAGTGAAGGCATAAAAGTGAGTAAAGATGAGTGAACCACTAAACCTTGCTGCTCATTTCATACATTCATCACACCAATAGGTTTTCCCCTGTTTTGTTTGTTTGTTTTTGGATCAGTAACTTCTCCAAGTTTTTCTCTCTCATCCCTTGTACAGATTTGTCCTCACCTGTACTCTCTGATGGGTTGTAATGTATTCTTGAGATTTTAGTAATTTAAGGGGGCTATTTTACATGACACTGTTGAGGAGGGGGACATTCTTCCTGCTACCCTTGTTGAGTTCTTACAACTGGACTAATAATAAAATCAACACAGGTCAGATTAGCAGGAGAAAAACCAATTTAAAATGTGGGCATGGGAGAGCATAAATAATGCTCAGAGAATTGATAGACCAGACATCTTTTCATACTTTTAGACAAAGATAAGTTTGTGAAGAATCAACAGGACAGGTTTGGATGCTCGTTGGTGAGGAATCTAATCTAAACAAAGTATGGATTTGGGTAGTAAATTAGTAACAAGGTTTTTTTACCTTAAGCTTCTACCCTTGAGCCCCACTCCTGGATTCCCTAACTCAAGGGTGTCTTTCCCCTTTGGAGCAAGAAGGGCACTTTTCACAATGGAGATTTTTCTCCTGATTTCAGGAGGACGCAGAGAGGTCAGAGCGTTCTTCTTGCATTGTTAGTTTTTTAAGTAACTTTAAATCAACATAATCATGGCCCTGCCTGGCATAGGTCAGTGGATTGAGCCGAACCAAAGTGTCGCAGGTTCAATTCCCAGTCAGGGCACATTCCTGGGTTGCAGGCCACCGCCCCCAGCAACCTCATATTGATGTTTCTTTCTCTTTCTCCCTCCCTTCCCTCTCTAAAAAAAAAATAATAATAAATAAAATCTTTTTAAAAATCAACATAATCAATATAGTGTTGCTCAATATTTTGTGGCAGCCTGCCCTGGTCCCGGATAATACCAACAGAAAACTTTAGAAACATAAACTTGGTTTATTTGGAAATTCAAGGCTGAATTTTTTATAATGATGAATTCTTCCAAAATTTACTACTACAGCTCGGCTAGGGGCCGGGTCGCTCACGCACTGAGCGCTCTCCTCTGCCATTGGCTGCCACTCAGGAGATCGTGCGTGGATCTAGAGCCAGTAGACCCTGTTTCTCCCACGCCCTACCGCGCCCCCTTTCGCGCACTGTGCCAGGCCCGCTGCGCTTGAGCATGCGCTCTGAGACGGAAATGAGTGGGATCCCAACCCGCTCGGCCAGCAGGGGGCGCGGCGCGGCGGGCGGGGGTGTGAGGTCCCGCTGTCCCGTCAGCGTTTGGGCCGTTTGCCAGCGCCACGCGACCGAGACCAGGAGTCAGTAAACCACCGAGAGGCGGAGACCTCCCATTTTCCTAGAGAGAGCAGGTGGGAGCGGCGCAGGGGGTAGGGGCACCGGCGCGAGTTGAGTGGCAAAAGGAAAAAAAAAGGGACCGACCCGGAAGCGAAACGGAGGGAGCTTCCGTTCTTTGTTCTGTCCCTGGTGTGTGGGTCTGTGACAGTGTCCAACGGGGCCTGGTCCGTGTCCAGGCCCCTCAAGTCTTCCGTCCCTGCCCCTAGGGTGAGTCCGGCCGCCCTCGGGGCTCGCGGTGAGACGGAGTCCGTGATCGCCCGGAAAGGGGGTGGTGTCCGTGCTGCTGCGGCCCGTGGGAACCTCAGGCCCTCCTGGAGCAGGGTGCTGAAGGCACCGCTCGCTCCCTCGCAGCTGGTCCCGGACTCGGTTTTTCCGGGGACGCTCCTTCACCTGCGTGAGAGGGAGAAAGGGGCTGCGGTTCTGGTTTTACGAGTTAGCGCCCAGCAAGAGCACTTAAAAGTTCCACTGTGGCTGTGGAAGGGTCCCTCTCTTTGAAACAGTTGATGACAGCCACCCTAACTTGGTAGTTCTCCGAGACTCTTTTAGTTGAGGTTCACACAGTTACTCGCATCCACGGTAGGCGGGTAGGTTTGTTTTTACTTACCTGGGTGTTTAGGGTCAGAGGATGAGTTCTTCGAAGTGTGCGCAGTTAGAGCTATGTCTGGGAGGGAGTGCAAACTTAGTTACGGGAATAATCCACAGGCGCCCAGTAAATCGAGTCGTTTACGGGGAGTGGTACAACTGTTTGTATTCCATTTGCAACTGTATTGATCCCTGATTTGATCCGGGTTTTTGGTGGGATTGAACACAGACCCGGTGTTTGTGAAACACCTCTGAAGGGCATGTTTAAACTGTACCAGAGGATTAGCAGGATGATGAACCTGAGATGTATGGACTATTAGAGAAATTATAGTTATTTATCCCCAAGAAGAAAAGTTTATGGAGAGAGGGCATCATTTGGCTTTGGAGAGTTGTGTGGGAGATTCTGTCGTTGAAGCTCCATAGGTTACTAGGTCTCTGTGAGGTGAAGTTCTAAGGGAGTGGATTTTCAGTTTACCATCTCCTTGTGGCTAAACTGTGCAGCAATGGAACAGACTCCTTGCTGAAGTATTGAGAGTATCTAGCAAGTAAGCCGACATTGTTTGCAACTTGAGAAGGGATCTTAACATGGAATGGGAGTGTGACCTGGAGAACTTGCAGTTCCTTTCAGCTTTCTTCAGGATGCAACACAAGTACCAGTTGTTGTGGTCTTAATTGGTATTTGTTAGCGTACATCTCTTTTTCCCCTTATCTATAAATATTTAGATTAGAAGTGAAGTTTACATGAATATTTTAAATTCCTTTTTCTTCTTTTCCCTTAATCATACAGCATTGGCATCAACTAAAGTCAGAATTCCTGGGAACTTGAACAGAATCTCCTCCTAAGTGCTACTTTGGCCTTCTCGAGATAACTCCTAAGAAGGTAGGAAAGGATCCAGCAGGTAAAGCTTTCTATGACTCATTTTCACTATCAGGTCATTTTCCTCAGTGCCCAGAAGCTGCTTGAGGGAGAGGGGTTGGCATTTGAGCAGGGGAAGGGCCCAGCCTGCACCTGAAGCTGTAGGAGTACAATGGAGAGTTTTCTTTCTATGAGAAACATTGTTTACTGATCCAGACACTGGGTACTTGTTCTCAACAATATGCCTTTGAGTTACAGCTTTGGTTAACCCAGCTGTGAGGAGGGAGCATTGCTTTTTTCCTCTGAAAATCAGAGTCTGATTTTTCCTTTCGAAGGACAGTTTGGATTGAGAGCTGATTTGTTGTGGGTATCTGCTTATAAACAGTCCTGGAAATTGTAAAGATGTTGATAGGAACAAAGAGATGGCTGGCAGCGGTCCCCAGCCTTTTTGGCACCCTGGACTGATTTCGTGGAAGACAATTTTTCCATGGACCAGGTAGCTGGGGATGGTTTGGGGATGATTCACGCACATTACATTCAAGCTCACCTCCTGCTGTGTGATCTGTTACCTAACAGGTCTGGAGTTTGGGGACCCCTGGTTCAAAGGGACCCAGCTGGGAGAGTGATGGTGGCAAGAGGGTACATTACCCACCTTGAACTGGTGGGCCTGGGTCAGTCATGCCTGATTCAGTGCTTTTCACTGTGTAATGGTGTTGGTGGTGAGCATTTTATACCCTTTTGTTGCCCAAAGACTAGAGTTCTCTGAACTCTCAGTGGCTCTCGGACTAGGCCCCTCCCCTTTTTATGTCTCCTGTGAATACAACAGTCTGTGATGGTGAAGTAAATACCATTTGCATTCCTGGTTTTTTACTCCTTTTAGTAGTGCCTTGTAATATAGTTGGCACTCAACAGATGTTTGTTATATGAGCAAATAAATAGGTAAAGAGAGGGAGGTAGACAACATCCAGGATTTTTTTTTTTCTTTGTTCTTGCCTAAGTGTAAGGGTGCTGTGGTGGCTGCTGCATCTGTTCTAGATCTGTTGATTCTTGCCATAATGTTCAGTGAAGTGAAAACTTCTATTTGAGATCCAAACCTTAGTCTAGGTGTTAATGTTATGTTTTATTCACTAGAACCACAGAAAACAGATCTCTTTTGATTTGTAGCATCTGGGAAGCCAGGACATTAATAGGGATAAAAACAAAGTAATTAGTAATCTTGTGCTTTTTAGACAGTATTGGTCCCTGCTTCAGGGACTTATATTCTGACCTAAGGCAACATATTAGGAGAGAAGGGAGATAAAAAGAAAGTTGGCTGTCACCTTCTCAGTGAGAGGATACATAGCAACTGGGACTAGTCTTTCAGATCTGGGTGAATGTATATACCCAGTCCCTGTCATGAGACTCACAAGGACCACAGAAATGGCCCAAGTTCCTCGACAATATCCCACCTTTGACTGGGACAGGAAGGAGAAAACAATTTTAGAAAGAAAGAGGAGGATGAATTTATCTTATTTAATTTAATAGAACTGTTTGTCCTAGCTCTGTGAGACTAGGGTTGTCTCCGCAGGTTTTTAACATGAGAGACATGGAACTCAGTCAGTTTCTCTAAGCTCCATTATTTGGGTGTTATTGCATGGCTCCTTTTTCTCTAGGGATAACACCTAAATTTAATGTAACAGCTAGAAACCTAGTAAGTTTTTTCTCCCACCAATTCTAATGTTTATGAGGGTTGTTTTTCTCCTCTATAAAAAAATAACTTTCTCTATGATCCCAGTTTTTAAAAAGATTTTATTTATTTATTTTTAGAGAAAAGAAGGGAGGGAGAGAGGGAGAGAAACATCAACATGTGAGAGAAACATCAATTGGTCGCCTCTCACATTCCCCCAGCTGGAGACCTGGCCCAGAACCCAGGAATAAGCCCTGACTGAGAATCAAACTGGCAATGGTTTGATTCTCAGGCCAGCCCTCAATCCACTGAGCACTGAATATTTGAGCCACACCAGCAAGGGCCCAAATATTCTTCAAAGTTGGTATGGTGCATACATACATACTTTGCAGTCTCTGTGTGCACTCTCTTTTCACTTTGATATTTTTCATTTCAATAGTTATTTACTATTTCATTCTGTTAACATTATTATTTGGCACTGATATTCTCTGATTTTTGTTGTTAAAAATATCCCTCAGTGTCTGTGGGGAGCCAAAAGTGGGATATTATTGAGGAACTTGGGCCCTTTAGTGATCCTCATGTAACCTCATTATAGTGAGTGGAAGTATATATATTTACCAGGGTCTTAAAGACTAATCCCCATTACTACATTTCCTCTCATTGTTCTTGGGTACTAACTAAAATGCTAGTGAGGTGTTTTATTTTGTTTGTTTTTGTTTTTATGAATCTTGAACTTTCGTTTCTGCAGTGCTTCCTTATTCTCATTCAAAACCTGCTTCTGGCTGAGTGTTGGAGACCAGAGACAGGTGCTTTTGGCCTTACCCATGGAAACTCAGGCTGATCACGCATCTCAGGAACCTCAGGCCCTGCTTGAGAGTGGTAAGGAATGGGGGGTTCATTCATTCATTTATTCAGTCATTCAGCAGTCATCTATTGAAATCTCAGGTACCAGGCAAATTGCTAGAATCCAGACATGATTAAGACATAGTTCTTGCCATTCAATAACTCACAGCTGAGTGTGTATTAACATACAGCTTGATAGGTTTTATAGCTGAGGCATTTTCAAGGGCTGTGGGTTCCTTGTGCAAGATGAAGAAAACTGGGACACACCAAATTCCATTTTCTAGGGGCTTATTAACAGCCAAGTTCATAGTCCTGGTTTTGCTCTTTAGGACTACATGCTTAGAGGATACTCTTGGGAATTGTTTTGTAGGTCACGGGCAAAAGATAAAATTAAAAAAAAAAAATAGGTAGGAAGCCATGAAAGTATTTGTATTTTGCTTCCATAGACTGCTTTCATGACTAGAGCCAGTTTGATTCCTACTGCTATTATTCCCTTAGGAGGAAAAGCATTTAAGAAGCTTTTTCATCTGGGTGATTCTGCAGCATCTAGTATCTAGGGATTTCAAGTTTCTATGGAATAAATACACTAACCTAAAAATTACAAAAAAAGGTAGGTGATCAGGAAAAAATCTGGGCAATACAGCTAACTGATAAGGACTTGTATCCAGATTACAGAAAAACTCTTGCAACTCAGGAAGACAACCCACTTTTTAAAATGGAAACATTTAAATAAACACTTCACAAAAAAAGATATACAAATGCTCAATAAGCACATGAAAAGATGTTTGATGTTGTTCATTAGGGAAATGCAATCCAAAACAATGGTGAGATACCACTAAACATATAATAGATTGGCTAAAATTTAAAAGATATACCATACCAGGACCCTGGCTCGTGTAGCTCAGTGGATTGAGCGCCAGCCTGCGAACCAAAGGGTTGCTGGTTTGATTCCCAGTCAGAACACGTGCCTGGGTTGCAGGCCAGGTCCCAGTATGGGGTGCGCAAGAGGCAACCACACATGGCTGTTTCTTTCCCTTTCTTTCTCCTTCCCTTTCCCTCTCTCTAAAAGTGGATAAATAAAATCTTTTAAAAAATAAATAAAAGATATACCATACCAAATGTTGGTAAGGATTCAGAGGAACTAGAACTCTCATATAGTGCTGGTAGAAATGTAAAATTGGACAAATACTTTGGAAAACTGTTCGTCATTTTTAAAAATGTTAAACTTACATACCCATATGATCCAGCCATTCCAGTCCTAGCCAGAGGTGATAAGAAAACCAAAGGAAGGAAAGGAAAGGGGGAGGGAAGGAAAGAGGGAAAGGAAGGGGATGGGGGAAGGGAAGGAAAGAAAGGGGATTAAGTACAGAAACAAGAAACACCTACAGAGTTGAGATTTGTACATTTGATCTGGGGATGGAGAATAGCTATGAGTGTTATGTCTTTAGTCAGGGTTGGGGTGAAGCTTCTAGTTTTCCTCTGGTCTAAGAGAACTTCATACAGTAGTTTGAGTTCAGAGATATGGAAAATGATGAAAGGAATATGAGCAGGACAGCCTTTGTTTCTGGCCAAGCCTGGGATAATGGACAAGAACACATTCATCACTAACAACAGACTGGGCACATTTCATTGAGAGTAGAGTGACTGGATAGAAAGAAAGGGAGCAGGGGCAGAATAGAGAGCAAGATTCAACATAATTTTAGACATCTCTCTTTAGGATGGGCCCACAATGAATGTGCCTATTATAAGCACCTTTTGTAGCTATAGAGGAAATGAACTTAAAAATGTCAGAGGGAATAGGTCCTAGGTTGTCCCAGCACCCTGTGAGTTCTCTGTAGGTTGGGAGGCCAGACAGCAGCAGACTTACTCATAGACCCTTTAATGTCCCCAGCTCTTCCTTCCTCAAAAGTTCCTCCATTTTCCAACAAGGAAAGTCTGGGGGACGAGATGTTGGCAGCCGCACTCCTAAAGGCCAAGTCCCAGGTAAGCTCTGGTTCCCCTTATCTTCTTTTTCTTTCCCATTTTGTGGACATTTTGGTTCAGCAACATCCCAGTTCAGTGCCCCAACCATGATTCCCTCCATCAGGACTGTGGTCTTTTCCTACTGAGTAATGGACCTTACTTTCTTTCTTGGATTCTCCCCTCTGTTGACCCTAATCTCCTTTCCTCAACTTCCCAAATATGCTTTATTTAACCCCATCCCCAATTATTTTTTTGGTGCTGTCAGTCCTCACCCTGAAATTGCATGCAGGAATGTGTTGTTTCAGGAGTTGGTGACATTTGAGGATGTAGCTGTGTACTTTATCCGGAAGGAGTGGAAGCGTTTGGAACCTGCTCAGAGAAATCTCTACAGAGACGTGATGCTGGAGAACTATGGGAATGTGTTCTCGCTGGGTAAGGAGTTATGCTTTCTCAATAAAACTCTCTTGGCATTTCTTTGCTTCCTTGTTTGCTAGTAACAATTGAGTCAGAGGAAATAATTAATTAAGGATTGCCTTAGTCTCAGAAAATTGTAATAATAATAATAATAATAATAATAATAATAATAGTAACTCCCATTTGTATAGTAACTTGTAGTTTATAACAAAGTTTCATATATATTCTCTCATTTAAGCCTCACAGTAACACAGCATTTGAGGGACTAGAATTATCCTCCTCATTTTATAGTTGAGGAAAGAGAGGTCAGATCTGAAATGCTTTACACATGGTCCTACAGCTGGTGAGTGGTGGAACTCTAGCCCTGGTTTTTGAAGTCCAAATATGGTACTTTTTTTCCATGTTATTTTTAGAATTTAACATATAATCCAGAGACTTTTCCAAAAGATTAGCATATTGGGATCCCAGAACATGTGAGGTACTGCTGTGTGCCCAAGTGAACATCTGGAACTCCATCTCCTCCCCTTCTCTGTTGGGCTACCTTAAGGGACTTGTTGCTTTGTTCATGACGTAGTGCAACTGCTGCTCTTGTAGACATTTTAACTTGTTATAGGGAACAATTCCCTTCTTAGCCTTTAGTCTGTGGACTGTTAATTCCTCGTCTTTCACTTTTAACAGTGAGAACATATTCTTCAGCAATGCCAGAGGGTCTTCCTAACTCCATTTGAGACCTCCCTGACATTTCCTTTCTGACCCCAGCAGGTCCTGGGTCTGGGATTGAGCTCTGTGACTGCTTGATATGAACAGGATAAACCTTGTCCAGTGTCGTTCCCCATGAGCAGGATCCTTATTCCTGTATTTTGACATGATCTCTGGGCTGAGGAAGAGCCAAGAGTTCTGGGTTTGAGGGGAATTGAGAAGAGAGAGCTTCTGAGAGGTGCCTGTTCAAGTGAAGGAGAAACAGCTATTTCTGTCCCTAATATTCATTGCCCTATATTTACTTTTTAAAATATTGACAAACTAAAAAAATGCTAACATCTAGACCCTTTGTATTTGTACTCTGTGCTTGAAGTTCCCTTTAAACATCCCAGGACAGTGAAACTAGAGAAGTCACATATGGAAATTGTTTACATATCGTCACATCATAGTGTAGCCTTCTAGGCCTAGGGACCAGAGATGGACTAACTCTGTCTCTTGCCTCTTTCCATGCATTTGGCATATGTGGCACAGCTACAAACATGAATGTTCTTTTCGCTTGGGGCTGTAGGGGGTCACTAGTGACCTCGACCTTGGTGCTCCTTTGTGCTCTGCTACTGTTTCTCATCACCTTCCCCCCCTTTTCTTAAACAGTTCTAGTAATCACCATCTCCCAAATTATATCTACAGTCTTTAACCTCTCTGAGGACTTTGTCACTTCATCGAGCATGCCTTTCTTCTTTTATTCTTGGTTCCCTGTCCCTGCCTGATCCACCCTGTCCTTACAATCCAGCTTTTTCTACTTCCAGCTGTTTTCTCAGTTTTGCTTCCTGCCTTTCTCCTTCCCTGTTCCCTCTTCTCTTATGCTGCTTTAGCTACACATAGCCTGGGCAGATAAGAGGCATGCGCGTGATTATGCTGTCCTCTGGTTTTGATTCTTTCTTTCACAAGGAACAAGTGATGTTTGTATTTTGTATTATGCCAGATGGTGAGACCAGAACTGAGCATGATCAAGAAATTTCTGAAGATACAGGATCACATGAGGTGCTATTGGGAAGATTCCAAAAGGATATTTCTCAGGGTCTTAAGCTTGAAGAAGCCTATGAAAAAGAAGTCAATCTAAAGAGGCAGCTGGGGAACTCCTCTGGAAAAAGACTGAATAAGAAGATACAAGAATTTGGTCAAGTGACAGTTGAGGAAAAGCTAACCCCCATGGGAGAGAGAAGTCAGAAATATAATGATTTTGGGAACAGCTTCACTGTGAGTTCCAACCTTATTCCACATCAGAGACTTCCTGTGGGAGACAGACCCCATAAGTGTGATGAATGTAGCAAGAGCTTTAATCGAACTTCAGACCTTATTCAACATCAGAGAATCCACACTGGGGAAAAGCCCTATGAATGTAGTGAATGTGGGAAGGCCTTCAGCCAGAGCTCACATCTGATTCAGCATCAGAGAATCCACACTGGAGAGAAACCTTATGAATGTAATGATTGTGGGAAGACCTTCAGTTGTAGCTCTGCTCTCATTCTACATCGAAGGATCCACACTGGAGAGAAACCTTATGAATGTAATGAGTGTGGGAAAACCTTTAGCTGGAGCTCCACCCTTACTCATCATCAGAGAATCCACACTGGCGAGAAACCGTATGCTTGTAACGAATGTGGGAAGGCCTTCAGTAGGAGCTCCACCCTCATTCATCACCAGAGAATCCACACTGGAGAGAAGCCCTATGAATGTAATGAGTGTGGGAAGGCTTTCAGCCAGAGCTCACACCTCTATCAGCACCAGAGAATCCACACTGGAGAGAAGCCCTATGAATGTATGGAATGTGGAGGGAAGTTTACTTACAGTTCAGGCCTTATTCAGCATCAAAGAATCCACACAGGGGAGAATCCCTATGAATGTAGTGAGTGTGGGAAAGCCTTTAGGTATAGCTCAGCTCTTGTTCGCCATCAGAGAATTCACACTGGAGAGAAGCCTTTGAACGTAATGGGAATGAGCAAAAGTTCTCTCAGAGTTACTGAATTAAATATCAGAGAGTCTACATGAAAGAAAGCCACACACCTGTTTTTATCACTTCCTCTGAGTCTAAAGAGTTCCTGCCTTACTATAAAAATATGAACAACTTAGGATGTGTCCCTTCTGATGCAAACATTTCACTTTAGAGAATGGGGTTAATTGGGCCAATCATCCTGGCACAGTGATTAGCAACCTAGTCAGTTTCCCATGGAATAGTACCAGCCTTGAAAAATTATGAGGCAAGCAGCAGATTGATTGTTGGGAATAGAGGGATGCTCTGGGACCAATCACCTTCACTATGGAAGGGATTTTGCACTAGACAATATTTCTCACACCAAGGGAGCCTTTCTTACTAAGGTGGGCATGGAAGCACAGTAGGAAAATTCTAAGGATTCCTCTAGTTGGAGTCAGTACAGTCAGCATAGAAGGCAGTGGCAAGAATGTTCTGGGTCCTGTTACTTGCTAAGAAAGGGAAAAGGAGGCTGTATTTGAAAGCCCCTGTTCCTAATCCAGCTTTAAGTTTTGATAAGAAAATTTGGTGCTGAGGGATTTATTTGATTGGGGGAAAAGGGGTGGGGCAGGCAAGAGAAGTTTTCTATGGTGACTATCCTTTATGGCTCTTGGAGCAGCAAGACCAAGTTTCCAAAAGCTGTCCGGCATTTTTGTTGGAGAACCCCTTGTCATTCCCTGTTGCGATATGAATAATTGGGAAATCCATCTAATCAGCGAGTCTAACATGAGGAAGTGGATCAAAAGCATTTCGAATAGCTTCTGCTTCCTCCATATGATAAAAGTGATTTAATCCAAACCCCTAGTGACTAAGGATGCTGTTACAGAGCTCACTTAACCAGCTTGCCCTGCCCTCTGTCACCTATGATCTATGACACCTGACCTGAGCAGCTAGCCTCTTCTGCCCCACCTCTGACTTCAACAGCAGAGTATGAATTCACACAGCAAAGCCTAGAGAAGGAAGGCTCTGACCAGAGCCTGGTGGTAGGGCTCCTGCTGGGTTAGGATGGAGCTCCTGAGTTTTCTCAGCTTGAAGGGATGACCTTTGATTATGTTTTCCCAATCTTGCTCATCCTGTAGCATAAATGAAGTGCACTATTAAACAGAATAGATTTTCAGAAGGAGAGATTGAGTGTGTTTTTGTGCAGGAGTAAAATTTAAACAGGAAACATCAGTGATTGTAAATGGAGTCATTAAAAATTAATCTTGAAAAAATTTTTTACAACCATTTCTCTCTTAGTCACAAACATGTCACCTCTTTCCCTCTAGACTCTGATCACATTCTTCTAGTTACTGCCCCAGACTATTCAATCATTTATACAATCATTCCCACCTTTACACCCTTATGTAGAGTGTTTTGTGCTGCATATCATTCAGTGTGGTATGGTATTTAAAACCAACAACTTAAACTAGAAAGGTGTTACTGGGTATAGGGTTCCTGACAAGCGTGTACTCGGATATTGAGTACAATGGGCATATTTAGGTTCCTTAGTTTGGCTGTTGGTGGGAGGATGTTACAGTCATGGAGAAGGCAGAGATGAAAGTAGTGGAGAAGATGAAATGTCTGGAGCTCTAGCTTCTAAGAAAATTTGGATCACATTGTGATCACCTAATGTGTTTTTAATTTCTTAAAACTATAATGAGACTCATCATTCAGGCTCTTCTCTTGACATCCACACATACTTGCAGATTGTTTCTCAGAGTGTAGACCATGAACTATCCATATTAGAGTCACTAGGCTGCTTGTTAGTAAAGCAGATTTCTAAGCCCCAAATCAGACAATTATTTTTGAGGATAAAGCTTAAACTACACTGAAAAGGGTGGGGGAGAAGGAACAGTTAGGGAAAATTCCTAGAAGATAAACTTGAGCTATGTCTTAGATAATACATGGTAATTAAGAGCTTCCAGTTAGGACAGTTTGGGGTGGCCTGAGTATGGCCACTTAATGTGAAGCTCGGGAAAGACCAGTGAACAGGAAGTGTCAGCCCCTTTGCCCAGATGGCGACCACTTCGCCTCCCCCACCCTCACATAAGACTTGATGGCTGTCAGTCTTTCATAACTTCTCACTGTGACCTGAGGCTGGGGCCATTACATGAAAAAAAGTTTTTGAAAAGACCTTTGAAACATAACATTTTATTCACCTGATTCTTTTGATTATTCATAACCCCACCATGATTCCTCAGTCTGTAACTGAGCATTCCTTAATGTGCATAGTACCCTTTTGTGTCTACCATTATCCCTGGAATCCATTTATTTCCAAGGCCTCCACCATCTATGCAAGTATTAAATCTGCATGTGTGGCACTGATCCCTCCCAAGCTCTAGTCTTGTGTCTCCAGTCTGCAGAGCATTTACACTTGAATCTTTAAAAGTTTCAAATGGCCCTGGCTGGTGTGGCTTGGTTGGAGTGTCATCCCATAAACCGAAAGGTTGAAGGTTCAGTTCTTGGTCAGGGCATATGCCTGGGTTATGGATTTGGTCCACTGCCAAGGTGCATACAAGAGGCAATTGATGCTTTCCCTCCCTTTCTCCAGAAAAGCAATGAGCATGTCCTTGGGTGAAGATTAAAAGTTTCAAATTACATGTTTCAAACCAAGTATGCCTTTCCCATACACTGCCCCTCAAAATTTCTGCAAACGTCTGAGTCACAACTGAGTTGTTGTGTGTGTGTTTTTTTTTTATTATTTTTATCCTCCTACATCTAACCAGCATCAAGCCCTGGGCCAATTTAGGAAGCATAGAATGGAAAAAGAGTTGTTAGAGAGGAAAGTTTCAAAGCTGAGATTATGGAAGAGGTGGGATTTCCACGTGATGGTAATAACAGTAGCATATACTCTGCCTGGCCCCTTTCCAAGTGTTTTTCATATATTAAATTTAATCCTCACTACAACCCGCGGTAAGGTAGGTGTTAGTATAACCCCATGTTATAGATGAAACTATTGAACTTGCGTGGTGAGATAGGCCAATGAGATCAGGATTTGTCCACTTGGTGAGAAGCTGAGCCAGAGGCTAGATGGCTTAGATGTGAAGTGGGAAAGTACCTGTAAAGGGAACTTCATCTAGGCAATGATTTTGTCCTGTCAGTTATGATTCTACAATCCCCATAGTTCTTACTCTTCATTTTCATTGCTGTTCACCCTAGAGTTCAAATCTTTCATACTTCTCCCTTGGATTATATAGTATAATGAAGCAATTTTCAACCTTTTTCATCTAATGGCACAAGTAAACTAATTACTAAAATTCTGTGGCACACCAAAAATATATATATTTTGCTGATCTGACAAAAAGTAGGTACTGTATTTTTCAGACCATGATGCATTTAGGTTTTAGAGAAGAAAAATAGGAAAAAAATGTTGAAGCAAAAAATGTGGTAAAATATTGAATAACATAACAATATTTCACCAATGTAAATGTAAACAGAACTCAACAGCAGCATTAACAACCATTATTCCTCCCAAATTTGGGGGGAGGGGGTGCATCTTATAGTCCGAAAAACCCAGTATAATTTTTTAAGGCTTTTTAAAAGGATTTATTTATTTATTTTTAGAGAGGGGAAGGGAGGGAGAAAAAGAGGGAGAGAAAGAAGAATGTGTGGTTGCTTCTCATGCACACCCCCTACTGGGGACCTGGCCCACAACCCAGGTGTGTGCCTTAACTGTGCATCAAACCAGCAACCCTTTGCTTTGCAGGCCGGCACTGAATCCACTGAACCACACCAGCCAGGATGTCATTTTGTTTTTTTATTAATTTGACAATCTAAGGGAAAAGAGGTCAGTGCCCCTGACTAAATAGGTATCGCATGTTTTAAAATTTTTTGTGGTGCACCAATTTAAAATCACTGTCCTAATGGATGGATATCTTTATTTTTATTTAGTTATTTTTAGAGAGAGTAACATTGATTTGTTGTTCCACTTATTTATGCATTCATTAGTTGATTCTTATATGTATCCTGACCAGGGATCAAACCCATAACCTTGGCATATCATGACAACATTCTAACCAGCCAAACTATTTGGCCAGGGCCTGGTTTGATATCTTTACTTTCTCACATTATAAATCACTCTCTCCCCAAAGCAGTATACCCATCTTGTCACTTTATCAAAAATTTCAGTGGCTTCTTTTTTTATAGAATAAAACTCCAAACTCCTTTATAGAAAAAATTCAAACTTCTTAGCTGTATGTAGTCAAGGCTTTTCTTGGGCTGGCTTTCGTATCTCTGTATTGGCTTATGTCTTAGTGCTCCTCTTCATACATCTAAAAACAAGATGTGTGATGAACCCGAGTTGGCAGTCATTACAGCAGTAAAAACAGACTTTATTTGGACAAATTGCAGTAAGTGAAAAGAACCCTCAATGAGAACTGGGCCCAATCCCGAATTCAGCATGACCAAGTGGGAATAATAGCCAAGGAGCAGGGTGGGGGGTCAATGGATGAAAATTTTCTAAGAGGAAACATTCAGGAGTAAGAGGGGTTTTGGTTAAACTGATCTAACAGGACTTTTGCTAAGGACAGGCAAGGGTAATTAGACATTGCTATGGAATGATGGTAGAAGATGGGGGCCTCATGCTTAAGTGGTGTAACAGGGTTCTTGCTAAAACTAGATTTTACAAGGAAGTGCACAGATGGACCTAGGAGGAGGTTCAGAAGCCCAATTAAGGTTTGGTCAAGCAAAGAATCTTTGTCACATCAAATAAGAGAAGATAACCAGGCCCAACTCACGCCCAACATTCATGCTCATGATTTTGTTCCCTCACAGTGTACCCATATCTTGCTCCAGCTCCTCACACCCGATCAATAAAAATCAGAGTACAAGAGGGCCTGAGAAACCATTTTCAACCTCCCTCTCAGTGCAGAAACTTTCAACAGTGCCCCCGACATAACCATTCTCTATTGTAGCATCTTCAAGGGAGAGCAGCTCACTGTTGCACCACACAGAAGCGGTGGTTACACTGCTGAGCATTCTGACTGCTGGAAGTTAAGTTGAGCCGAATTCTGCTTCCTTATAAGCTTCTGCCTTCTACTGTTAGCTTTTGGTTTTGCCTTATCTGTGAAATGAGAAGGATGGGGCCAGGTTTCCAAGGACATTATCAGTCATATTAGCAAAAGCAATGTCAGCCCTGACCAGTGTGGCTCCACTGGTCGGGTGCCCACCCATGAAGCAAAATATCTCCATTTTGATTCCATTGAGGGCACAGGCCAGGGTTGTGGGTTCAGTCCCCAATCAATTGGGACACCTGTGAGAGGTGACCCATCATCTTCCTCCCTTCCCCCTCTCTAAAATTAAATAAATAAAATCTTTTTAAAAAAGGCAATTTCATTCCTAACTACTGCCACTCACCCCAAGTTATACCTGTTCTTTGAAATCCAACTCAAATAATTCTGAAAAATGATATTGTGTGATAAGTTTCCAAGTAAGGGAAAAGCCTGGTTTTGTCTGAACATTTCAGCTGACAGAAGTGTGAACCACAGAGTGGTGGTCAAGAAAAATATCTTAACAAATTCTTTCTTTTTACTTAAAAGATTGGTTTTGAAAGCTTCCCGAAATATTTCTTTTTCTCTTAGGTTGTCTATAAAGTTAAAACTTTTTCTACTTTAAAAGTTAAAAGAAAGCTTAGTCAGGTGCATTATTTTAAATGTCAGTAATGAAGAACTGAAGACTGAAATGAATCAAAACTTATATAGACTACTTTCTGCATACACAGAGAGAGAGAGAGAGTGGTTTCTCCAGGAATGACACAGGATCCTTATCTTTCTCTACAGGCATATATTTCCTTGTGTATTCTCCACTTTGGTTGCAGACATCATCCACTTCCCAGTCAGCCAAGTCAGAAAGCTGGGAACTGTTCTGGATGCATTGTTTCTCTGTCTTGTCACCTGTATAGCTTGTCTGTCAACTTCCTAGCCCATCCTGTCTTGCCCATTCCTGTGACTCGTGCAATGGCCTAGATCATTCTGAACTCCTCCCAGGATTTTGGCACCATCCTTTCTGCTTCCAAAGTCTTCACCAATCCATATATATTTTTTAAAAATCTTCACTCAATGCTTATTGATTTTAGAAAGAGGAGAAGGGAAGGGGATGTGAGAGAGAAACATTAATTGGTTGCCTCTCATATGTGCCTTGACCAGGACTGAACCCGCAACCTAGGCATGTGAACCCGCCACCTTTCGATTTATGGGACGACACT